TGATGCCTTTGAGTTGTGGTGTTGGAGGAGAATACTGAAAGTGCCGTGGACTGCCAAAAGAACCAATGGATCTGTTTTAGAAGAAGTACAACCAGAGTGCTCCTTGGAGGCCAGGATGGCTAAGCTTCGTCTGTTATACTTTGGACATATTGTCCAGAGGAAACAATCGTTGGAGAAGGATGTCATGCTGGGTAGAGTGGAGGGTCAGAGAAAAAGAGGAAGACCTCTAACGAGATGGATTGGCCAGGTGGCATCATTGATGGACTCAAGTGTGGCAGCAGTAATGAGGTTAGCCCAGGATCGGACATTGTTTCGTTCTGCTGTGCATGGGGTTGCTATGAGTCAGTTCCAACTTGATGGCACCTGACAAGAAGAAGAAGAAGAAGAATAGCTAATCATGACAATCCTCCCCAAGTGGAAATCAATAAGAGCCCACTTGCAGCAAGTTAGTGACCAATGATGAGCAGATGCCCCAACCACCCCACCAAAGCAGTCCCTCTGTTACACCAGCCACCCAGAGTTCCCAGCTAGGGGCTTTCTCCCTCCATGGAGTCCCTCTCGGATCATTTCCAGGGGCTGGAGAAAGAACTTGTAAATGTCCTTACCCAGCTTCTTCCTGACCTTCAGTTCACTTGTCACCCTGAGGAAAAAGCTGCTTTTCTTTAACTACAAAACAACCAGAATGCTTATTTACCCTGTTGTTGTGTCTTTAAATACTAAGTTGGATAATCTCGTGGTCTGGTTACCTGCTGCCTCCACAGCTGTTCCTTACTGTGCTAAGGGCACCATTCACGGAATGTAGCCTGGTCATCACTGCTGCACTGGCTCTTTTGTATTTTCCATTCCCATCAATGTCTTCAGTGGGTTTTGCTGTTTTGTTTTGTTTTAATTAAACTGCTCCAGGGAAAGGGAACAATACTGAAAAAACAAAAAAGAAAGAAGAAACAATGGGATGGAAATTATTCATGGGCTAGAGTGTTAACACGGATGACATGTTAACACAGGTGACAGGGCAGGTAATATACAACAAGAAGGAAGTTAGCAGAGGAAAGATGAAGGTAATGGGAGACACAGGGAGGAATGTAATAGATAAAGTGAATATAGGTAAATGCTATTAACTGTTGGTGCATGGAGGTGATTACAACCATGCAACGAAGCAAAATATATGATTTGTTGAATGTAAAACTGATGATCTGCTCTGTAAACCTTCATTCAATTTATAATTAAAAAAAGTTGAAAAGGAAAAAGGACTTTTTAAAAAACTTGTTAGAATTATGGCAGAAAAGACTTTAAGTTAGTTTTTCTCAAAGTTTAGGATGCAAATAAACATGAGACCTTTAAAAATGCAGATTCCATGGTGTAAACTCCATAGATATGATTCAATAGACCTGAAGTGAATAGCTCAAAAATCTGCATTCTAACAAGCAAATTAGTCAGTGCTTTGAACAGACTTTTGAAATTAAAATTTAGGTTCTTTGAGAAAATCACTTTTACTTTAGAGAATTACAAAGTAGACATAAAAATCTGCAGAGATGGGCATATTTCCGTCTAGGTGTCTCAGTTTCTGTAAAAAATTACATGGGAGCTGTGTCTGATCTTCTCTAACTTTATACAGGGAATGGAAAATCAAAATTAGCAATTCAAGGTCAATTTCTTTCAAGTGAAGATCAGACATGCCTCTAACCTATAAACATTTTACCAATTCTGACATCATTCCTCCCACAGCTTTCTCCTTCTCTACTGGGTTTAATAATCCATTGCAATGGCCAAACAGAACTCACAGACAATACTCACAATTATGGGGTTTATTAGGGAAACTGTTAGTTAGCTGAAGAAAATGAAAACAAGTCCATGAGAGCCAAAATATGCCCTTGAATTTATCCCATCTGAATTTAGAGATCATCTGAAGAACAGATTTGGTACATTAAACACTAAAGACCGAAGACCAGAAGAATTGTGGGATGACATCAAGAACATCATACATGAAGAGAGCAAAAAGTCATTAAGAAGATAAGAAAGAAGGAAAAGATGAAAATGGATGTCAGAAGAGATACTGAAACTTGCTCTCCAGCATAGAGATGCTAAAGCAAATAGAAGAATTGAGGTGGTCCAAGAGCTGAACAGAAAATTTCAAAGACCAGCTCGAGAAGATAAAACCAAATACTATAATAAAATATGCAAAGATTTGGAAT